TTTTTGACCAAAACCGAAAACCAGTGCTAAAAAGCGGAAAATCCGTAAACCGCAATAAACAAAAAACCGAAAAACCGAAGTATTGTTGGCACAAAAACTGAAAATCCGCTCTAAAACCGCAAAACCAAAAATCCCAATGCCTCTCTCGAACAGAACAACAAACATAATGACGCAAGCATACAAATACACTTTGTGGAAATCCATATGAGCGTATACCAGACAAAAGAAAGTTTTAATTTGATTACAAGAGACTTCTTGAAGTAGCCCTTCCAAGTGGGCAGTCCTATGTCCGATCAATTTATGTATTGTTGCTCACTTTTGTGATAAGTGTTTAAATGCATTTTATTTGTTAACCAGGAGCTGTTAATGATTTGAATATGCGGAATTAAGAGCTTTCTCCAGGAACTTCAGGTCAAGCAACTGCATCTTAGAGAAAACTCTGTGAACAGTTCCCTTTAGGCTTTTGAATTTAAGCGAAATGAAATGTAACAGTGAGCTTCTCATTTTTGTTAATGACATGCAAAGGAAGATTAAGATGAAGAGAGGAGTTTTAAGAGAAATTTTTAAAGGGGGTAATGTTAATTTCATTTTTTTCGCCGTTTTCGGAGACTTAAAAGTTTAGACTTCAGACCAAGAAGACCTACCTGTCAAAAAAAAAAGCATATCTACATAAAAGAAACATGATGATTCATGCAAAACATTTCAGTTTCAGTAAAATCTATTTTGTTTGTAAAGAGGACAGGAAAATTTTTAAGCATTTTCCAAGTTTACTTTCTATCTTCTGCTGTGGCTCTACACCATCTAACCATGAACGAGAGCCGCCCAAACGAGCACCTCAGCAGTGAAGCGTCCATCGCCCTATCATTGTGGTTCGCCTTGTCCAGTTTTGCAGCTGTGACTGGAAACGCAATTGTGTTATGGTTGTTATACAAAAACGAGACTTTACAAACAATTTCCAACCGATATTTAGCCTCACTGTCAGTTGCAGACCTTTCAGTCGGGCTTGTTGTAGACCCTCTCTGGATCGTCACCAGATGTTGGATTCAGCCACCTTTGTACACCATGTTGTCGGACGTCTTACACGTGTTGTGGGTTCATACAGCGACCGCCACTACTTTCAACATCTGCTGTGTTTCAATCAACCGGTTTATTGCGATTCGGTTTCCTCTCCGTTATCAGGAGATTGTAACCAAGAGACGATGTTACACAGTGATCATATTGGTTTGGTTAAGTTCATTGAGTCTTTCTGCTTCAACATTATTTATGATTGGTAAATTAAACGTAGTGAGTTATTTGTCTTATACATGCATTATCTATGTTGCTCCATTATTAGTTGTCTCTTTTTGCTATATTAGTATTTTCAAGGCTGCCAGTGAACAATACAAACGAACGATAACGCGGGAAAATTTCCGCAACTGCGATGGAAATATTAGAGTTCTTGCTGTACAAAATTTTATAGCTATAAAAACAATCGGTTTTGTTTTAGGTGTATGCATCATCACATGGATGCCCAGTTTAGGTCTGTTATCAGTTGTATGTTACTACGTCCTAACCAAAGACAAAAGTAAAATTCATGAATTGTTCTATGTTGTATGGCCTTGGGTTGATGCAATCGCTTTTACTTTGTCAGCGATCAACCCTTTGATATATTATTTCCGAAATGACGACTTTCGCCGAGCCTTTCGCCGTACCTTCCATCGGTGGCCCTTTGGTCATGTGGACAATTCACCTGCTATTGGTTTAAATTCAGAAAAAAAAAAAAAAAGGATGGTACGAAATGATGAGACAACTGGCAATCTGGCAAGTTAACAGAAAGTGCAGTAAAGACAACTCAAACCAATACTCCTCTGCCTAACCACAAACCTGGTCAGCCTCCATAAACATAACGGAAATTCCGAACAATTGTATGTTTTCAGTACTTTAATGTCATTAAAACACTACATTAGATATCGTTTAACTTGTTTTATCTTCCTTGTTTATCTCAGTGATTTAAAACGACTTAAACTTCTGGACAATTGGTCGTAAAATCAATGCAATTGATTTTAATAATAAAGATATTATATCCTCTTACTTGGGCCCGTTGCTAGTTTGACTCAGCGGTAGGAGCAGCGTGGTCGCTTAGTTTTCTGAGAGCAAAATATTATCGCTTAGTTTCTATGAAGTATGCAGATAGCTCTCCACAACTCAGAGGATGAGTTGTGGACAAGCTACATCATCCAAATTGCAATTTGCAAGCCGCCTCAAAGCTTTCCGAGGCAACTATCCTGTTTACAATGCATGGGAATACCCTGGACGCTTACTGAATGGAAGAGAAAAGACCAATCAACCAAATTGCGAAGGCAAGGGATAGAAGCGAAAGATCTTATCCGTGCTAATGACCTTGCCATGTCTCGTCGTCAATATAAGTATGAGTGGCATAGGAAAAAACAACTGGATATACGCGCACTAAGACATTATATTGAAAAAAAAAAAAAAAAAAAAAAAAAAAAAAAAGACCGCTGTAGTATTACAACAAGAAAAAAATTAAATGTAATGGTCTTATTACTTCTCTTGATTACGAGCGTAAAAAAGATCTCATGAAGTTTTGATCGCCTGAGAATTTATTGAAAGTGGCATCTTTCAGCTAAAGGGACCCCCGGAACAAGACTTGTACACTCACGGTCCTTTGTCCGATCAGTTTATGTTTTTACCACAATTGGCAGTAATGTTGCAATCTGATTGGCCAATTTGCCATTGCTGATAAGAGTACAGAGAACACTGCTTACGTCAAAGTGTCACCCTACGTGTCAAAGAACCATTTTATTTGGCGTTGTTATTGTGGTCAAAAACAAATCGACAGTGGTTTAGCGTGGTCTGTACTCTTATCGAACCTTGATTGACTTTGACCAATATGATGACGAATATCCGGCCTCGTCGATAAGAATACAGACTATGCTAAATGACTGTCGATTTGTTAAGTTGTGAGCATTTATTAATTGATTTCAGTTGTTCATTCCATCACATCATGATTTATTTCAAATTACCTCGTTGGTCATTAATTATTATTGGTTTGTCATTTCCTTATTTTTGATCAGCTTTCGTTTTGAAATATTAGTCATTTCCGCTGAAGAAAGCAATTTATGGCGACTAAAAGTTCACGTTTAAGAATAGAAACCTCTTCTCCTCCTAACTTTTGTAAATTTTTGCACTTGAATTTGACAAAAGCTGACTCTTCCCCCTTGCAATACGCGCGGCTAGGAAAGGCAATGGCGGAGAAAAGGATGATGAATGATGATAATAATATCGATTTCTATAATGATATCGATTTCTATAGCGCATTTCCATGGAATGTTCAATGCGCTTTACAACACTGTGCGGGGTACTTTTTCAAACTGCCGGCGGCAGTTTACAATTAATAAAGAAGAAATTTTTTACATATGTTCCCTTCCCCCATTCCCAGTAAACAGGCCAGACCACATCCCAGTATCTCGTGATGTGGGTTCTTTAACGTCCCCTGCTGAAATTAACTAATTGATAGATTCAGGAGAAGTTGCGAAAAAGAGGAACCCATTACATTTCGCGCTTCTGCTCTTTAATAATGTTGGACAACCACACAATGGATAGGACTGGAGACGAATAATTGACGAGAAAAATTCAACCGCCAAGTAGAAGGAATTTTAAAAGTTGTTTTTTTAAGCATTGAACCTCTCATTGAGCAAAGTAATACTCTATTTGCGAGAAGAGTATCTCCTTTTACTTTCGAAAAGGTGTGTAACAGATATTTTATCTCAAGATTAGTAGAAGACTGGAAACGAGAGAAATTATGTTAAAAGACTAAACTGGTACCAAATGAAGAAATTTTTGTAGGATTTACTCACAATTAGATTTTACGGATTCCCAGTTGCCTTATGTGGAGCCCACTGCAAGTACATGTTTATAAAAAGTGATCCCGCAACGAGATTTGCATAGTACTTTGCCTAAACATGAAGTTGCAACTGATAAATCAATTATTATTATTTTCTTTTATTATTTTTGTTATTGTTGGTATCTTTTTAATGATTTCAATCATTTTTTATTTCATTTATTCTCTCTTCATTAATTTATTCATTCATTTATCTTTTAATCCATTCTATTATTCCGACTCACGTTTCCCTTTGCTGCTGGAGAAAGCAGTTCATAGCGGTAAAAAGGTCAGGTTTATCGATAACATCTTTTCTCCTTGTAACTTTCGTCTACGGTTGCCGGCTTCGGGTTGACAAAGGCTGACACTTTCCCAGTCTTTTTGCGATACGCGAGGCAAGAAAGGACGATTGGGCAGAAAGGAATGATGGGAAGGGGAAAAAGGAATGGACTCTTTTTCTCTGCCAATCACATCTTACGATTCCGAGAACGAGTTATTACCAAGACAAATTGAACTCTCAAAGGATCCTGGAAAGCTTGTTTCAAAGGTTCAAACTTTCCTGAAGCTAAGACAATGGTTTGGTGATACTTCATTTGAGAAAAGGTTGAATTTCCTTTTCGACTTTTAAAATGTGTGTAACCGGTTAAAGAATGCAATTGGCCAGAAATATGAGTTTCTTAATGAACGTTTCAGACAAATTATAGCATATTCTAATGAATAACTTTTAAATAACATATTCAAATGAATAATTCATAGTTCACATATGTTTTCATTAGTCTCACTTACCTCAAAAATGAAAGCTTCACCACGATCTTTTTATTATGCTCGCTGAGGAATGAAGTTCGCGCCGCACAGCAACGAGTGCGGTCATTAAACTGATACCAGGAGCCGTTTGTAATGTGAGTATCCGGAGCTTTCTAGTAGATTTCCTGTCACTACAGCAGCTGCATGTTAGGAGAAACTTTGTTGTCAATTTTTGTCAGGCTTTTGAATTTATACGAAACTTGAGGTTGTAAGAGCGAATTCCTCCTTATCGTTTATGAGAACAACGAAAGATTAAGATGTTCGAGAGGTACTGCTCTATCCGTCTCTTTAGCCGTTTTTAGGCACTTTAAAAGTTCACATCAATATGACGTGCCTGTTGATAAAAAGGCATAAAATCAATATGATAATGCTTTAAAAGCAGTATATAGCGGTTCATGGAAAAAAATCATTTTAATCTCAGAAAAATCTGTTTGGTTTGTGGAGAGGACAAGAAAATTACAACCGTACATTCTATCTTCTGGTGTCGCTGTCCGCCATTTTAACATGAATGAAAGCCACCCGAAGGAACATCTCAGCGGCGCAGCATCCATTATTCTTTCATTGTGGTTCTTCTTCTCCGGCTTAGCAGCTGTGACTGGAAATGCAGCTGTTTTGTGGCTGTTCTACAAAAACCAGTCATTTCGAACAATTTCCAACCGACATTTAGCCTCCCTATCTGTTGCAGACTTTTCGGTCGGGCTTATTGTGGACCCTCTGTGGATAGTCATCAGATGTTGGATTAAGCCGCGAGCTGAAACCGGTTTGTACGACTCTATAGAAGTGCTGTGGGTTTACACCACCGCCACCACTACTTTCAACATTTGTTGTGTTTCTGTCGACCGGTTTATTGCCATTCGCTTTCCTTTCCGTCATCAGGACATTGTAACCAAGAAAAGATGCTACACGGTTATAACTTTGGTGTGGTCAGTCTCCCTGGGTCTTTCCATTTCAATGCTATTGCAGAATGATGAAAATGTTAAAAAATTCTTTTTGCTGTTACCAAGTATAATCTTTGTTTTCCCATTGTTAGTCGTCTCGTTTTGCTATATCAGTATTTTTCGGGTTGCCAGAAAACAATTTAAAACAATGTTAGCGCGGGAGAGTTCGCAAAACTGCGACGAAAACATTAGAGTCAGTCTTTTTTTGCAAAATTTCAAAGCTATCAAAACAGTTGGATTTGTCGTGGGTGCTTGTATTATCACATGGATGCCCAGTTTAGCTCTCTATATAGTTAGCTGTTACCATATATTAGTGACAGACCAGTACGAAACGTTTGAATCATTGCTCTATGTTGCGTGGCCTTGGGCTGAAGCCATCGCTTTTACTTCATCAGCGATGAACCCAATGATATATTACTTCAGAAACAGCGAATTTCGCCAAGTTTTTCGCAGAACCTTCCAGCGACTGTCCTCTCTTGACGTGAACAATTCACCCGATATTGACCTGAAACGAGAAAGAAACCGAACGTACGAAATGGATGGACGAGTGGGAATTTAGCATGGCTAGATATAGAGTAATGAAGACAAGTCGAATATAACAGTAATCCGCCCGCAAGCAAACCTGGTCGGCCTCCATAAACAGAAGATGTTCAAACGGAACTCCGTTAACCTTTAACACTTTCGCTTTGTCTCCTATCAGTGACTAGCATCTTCCTTTAATATCACTCCTGAATCACTCATTAAGGTCGCGAACTTAAGATGCTCTCGATTTAACAAATGGTAAACACCACAGCGTACACTATTGAGTTATGGATGCACGCGGGAGGTTGCTAAGCACGAAAGAAGCGTAAGAGTCGTGCGAGGCGACAGCCCAGAGCGACTCTAGCTTCTTTCGTGCTTAGCAAACCGCCCAAGTGCATCCATAACTCAATAGTGTACGCTGTGGTGTTTACATTTGTTTTATAACATAACATTGATACATTGTAGCTAAGGAGTTCCCTTTTATTTAACAAATCTTACCCGACCAGAAAAACAAGCGCGTGCGGAAAAATAGTCTTTGCATTTGCTCACGTCAGCACCGTACACCCATGGGCAAATGGGGGACGCTAAATTGACCAATCAGAGCGCGCGCTTTACTTTGGTTATGTTGTAATGTTTATTAAATTCTCCATGTTGGCGCCTTATCAACAGCATGGAGAATATGCATATTGAAGTTAGGGTGTAAAGGGTTAACTGTTTCAGAATCTTTTGTTTAAAAAAAAAAACGTGAGTCGGAGCGATTAAATAATTTTACATCTTGTCCCATCAAAGGAGCTTTACTAGACAAATGTGCTGTTCTTTTTCTTAACGTCATTCATCGTTTTGAGTCCTTGGTATTTGGTTATACTCTTAACTGTTTGCAGAATACCTTTTGTTTAAACAAAAAAAAAAAACCTAAGTCGGAGCGCTAAATTCATTTTACATTTTGGCCCATCGTGACCTAAGATATTT